AACTACTAGACTTTAGGATTACGTACAGTACCATGACAGTCACCTCAAACTATGTATAGTTTAAGTGTTTTTGCAGGAGAGCTTTAACTTCCCGATGAGTGGTATTGGTATGTATTTAATATTTATGTTAAGGGTTTGTTGTAAGCTAACTATATCAGGTGCAGAGATGATGAATGATGTATTAACTCGAATGATGATGATAATCATGGATGGTTAGTCTTATTATTATTGCTTATATATAATGATAGTTTATGATAGTAATAACATATGGTTATGTTTAATTCATTAACATGATAATTGTTTTCATGTAATGTTATGTTATTTGGTTAATCCGATTATCCGATTAACCAAACCAATTAAACTTTGGTTTGGTTAATTTGGTTTTCGTGTTAATTTGGACGGTTTGGTTAAGACATTTTATTCCATGATCAATAAAATTTAGGCTTAATTGGTTTTTTATTACTACGGTAACCATTTGAACACCCCTAAAGATACCACTTGAAGGAAGATCTCGCAGCAACAAAAAAACACCAAGCGAAGGAATATACCCACGCGAGCAGCCGAGCAGACAAAAACCGGGCACAATAATAATGACGAAGCTGGGAATAAAACCACAACCACCGAAATCCCAAGCGAAGGAGAAAAAGGATAGCCGAATGGGGGGCGATTCTGGAGGAGGTTATTGGATACCTTTCGGTTCATCGTGGCTTAAGTGTGCGATTTGTAGGTCGTAGGAACAATCGGGTGGCCCATAGGGTGGCCAGGAAAGCCCTTTTATTGTACCCGGCTGCAAGTCGCTGTTTTGATTTCAATGGCTGGCTTCGTCCCAGGATGTAACTCTCTGTTTATCAATATATATGATTATCTTTTGTTAAAAAAAAAGCGAAGGAGAAAAAAACTCACGCGAGCAGGCGATCCGAGAAAACCCTTACGCAGCCGATAACCAGAAGCAGCCGAGAACAAGAAATCAAAGAGCAGCCGAAGAACCTTAGACAAGAGGCTCTGATACCATGATAAGAAGCATAAATCAAGAACATGAACACCAGTGGTTTTCCTGAGAATCGGGACTAGTCCACGGAAGAGGTATCACTCTCCAGAGTCAATCTTATTCAGCTTGGTTTATACAGAGTAGATAGAGGAGGTATTTATACATTAAGGTTACTGCTCAGAAGTAACCATAATCCTACCTAGTTTGGTAACTAACGTAATAGGGACAATTACATTAAGCTACCTAAACTAAGCATATACATAATTTCAACACAAACCACTCGGTGAAAAGCAACCTTTGAAATATTGTACCAAAGGACGTATCGAAAATGTTAGTGGGGCTATTTTATGCTAAAATTGTGGTTTAATCGTGCTTCAACCGTCTTACACCACTAACTACCATTACCAGTTTACTCCGATAGGAGATTTTTCCTGATCAAACCACCGATACAGTAAGGTTTTTCTGCTCCCCTAGGATTCTGTACCTATAGTATTCCTTCTTTTACTAGTGAAATTGGTCCAAAAGAACGTGATGGAAAAACCAAGCAAAATTGACCCGTGAATGGTTTCCCGCCATTTATGGAAAACCTTAGGACAAACTTAACCAAAAAATATATCTACTGACTGATCTTCTCCATATATTCTCCAACAACCGCCCTAGGCAATATGCAAATAACAACTTCTTGTGCGTCTCCTTATTTAGGGATGGGATGGATATTGGGGGGTTCTCCGACAACGACAAATCAATTCGAACCACTCAACTAAATCCTACCAATGAAGTGAATCGACAAGCGTGGGTTGCTTTCAATTTCGCCCATGTGATTCCCCTGCTCATTTACTAGAACTCAGCTAGCCTTCTTTCCAGCCACTTTGCACTGCTGGCTATATAGATGTAGCTATTCTGCTACAAGTAAGTTGTTTCAATCCATACAGCTCTCTGGCATTTGCTTCGACCCAAATAGAAAGATCAAAAAGAAGAAAGCAGATATGGCATCTGGGAATGACCAGTTCCCGCCACAGCATCAGCCGGAGCAGCCGGGGAAGGAACACCTGATGCAGGGGCGGATCTACAGTTGGTCTCGGGGAAGCCTTGGCCCTCCGAGAATCGTGAAAGTTACGTCTAAACTGCATCGGTATTTTTGAAAATTTCGTAAAAGCTAACAAAGATGTAATACGTTTAGAGTGCAAATTTGTTAAAACAAAGTAGTCTTAGTCAAGTGGAGAGGAAGTTAGTTATTATGCAGCTGGTTGAGGGTTTGATACTTAGCCTCTGCAATTCTATTAATTTTTATTTGCTTTTTATTTTAATATATCTACATAATTACTCTTTCAAGTTTCATGTTATGGTTTCTTCATTTCATTATTTCAATATTATTTCTTGACTCATTTAATTTCAAGTTTAGTTTTTTTTACCACTTTGCAATTTTATATCACTGAAAAATTATCCATTTTGACCTTTCATAAGTTATTCTACACCAATATTTTGACTCTAATCATCTAAAATGATTAATCATAATACTAATAAAAGTAAAATTTACTTTGATTGTCTTGTTTTAATTTTTTATCACTATAGTATTAAATAATTTTCGGCCCCCCAACGACAAATCCTAGTTCCGCCGCTGACCTGATGAACCCTCTTCCTCAGGCCATCAACCCTAACTACAAGCCCTCTTCCAAACTCCAAGTAACAACTCATCATTTCCATACCTCCGTTTCTTTTTCGCTGGATTGTTTCATTCACTCTTAAGATTGAATTAATGGATGCAGGGGAAAGTAGCTCTGGTTACAGGAGGAGACTCGGGGATCGGCAGATCGGTGTGCATACATTTCGCCATGGAAGGAGCCACCGTCGGGTTCACATACGTCAAGGGCATAGAAGACATGGACAAGGACGAAACCATCAAACTGATCAAGAAATTCAAGACCCCTGCAGCGAAAGACCCGATCGATCGCTATACCGGCGGATCTGGGATACGGATCGGAGTGCCAGAGGGTTGTGGACGAAATCGTCAACGAGTACGGTGGGACCATCGACGTCCTGGTGAACAACGCGGCGGTCCAGTACTATACGAATTCGATCGACGATCTGACCGAGGAGAGGATCGACAAGACGTTTCGGACCAACATATATATATGCATACATTTTTATGGCCAGGCTTTCTCTGAAGCATATGAAGCAGGGGAGCTGCATAATCAACACCACCTCTGTTGTGGCCTACGCGGGGAAGATCGACCTGGTGGATTACAGCTCGACGAAAGGTGCGATTGTGAGTTTTACGAGGAGTTTGAGCTTGCACCTTGTGAAGAAGGGGATTCGGGTCAATGGGGTTGCACCGGGACCCGTTTGGACGCCGTTGCAGGTGGCTTCGCTTCCGGCTGAGGTTGTGAGCAAGTTGGGCGGTGAATCGGGCCGGTCAGCCGTATGAGATGGCGCCGTCGTATGTGTTTTTGGCGTCGGATGACTGCTCTTCTTACTTCACCGGTCAAGTCCTGCATCCCAATTGTGAGTTTTGTTTTTGGGAAGAAGGAATTGAATGCTTCCAGCTATTTATGGGTTTGGGTTTGCGGTGGTGTTGTTGTTGCAGGTGGGTTGATCGTGAATGCTTGATCCTGAGTTTGCTAGCTGGTAAGAATGGTTATCAAGAACTTGAAATTTACAAGACCATTTTGAAGAAGATGAATCCATATCACCGTAGGATTGCAGTCGCAGAGAGTGAAGAAGAGGTTTCGAATGCTAGCACCAAAGGGCAGAACGTTTCATTAGTGAAACGTTTTTTGTTTAGGTTTTGTTGTTAGTAACGTGTTGCGCACCGTTTAAGTTAGTAGTGTTAGATTAAGTATTGTTTAGTTTGAACAATGTCCAATAAGACAACATGTGTAGTCGGTCTGTAATTGTGATTTAAAATTGAGTACAAAATGCAACATTTCACTAATAAAACATTTATGTTTAGTTTGTGTTGTTAATAAAGTGTTAAAATTAGGGTTTAATTTGAACTATGTTCAATGAGACATCATCATATGTCATTCGTTTGTAAATATGATTTACAGGTGAGTATACAACGCAGGATATACTATAGTTGTTGATGTAAGTTCTTTCCCAAAATTCAATCCTATCTAAATTTCTCATGCATGTCAATAATGTAGAGTGCAAATGTGATGAAGCTTTCTAATTTCTTCTAGTTTTAATCATTTGAAATCGAAAATTATAGATGATGAATATAAAGATGTAAATGATCATAATATATCTTTGCAAGAATGTCACAAGTTAGCATAACCTATCTGGGTAGGCTCTGGTGACAGGAGGCTTCTGGACAGTAGTTGAATTTCTTGGATCGAGCATTTTCCGTTGTCGGGACTTGAACCAGGGTCTTTCAGGTGAGAGCCGAATATCCTGACCAACTAGACTACAACGGATTTTGTATATGTTTTAATGTGTTAAGTAATACATCACTTAAGGGTGCCTCAAACTCTTTAAACTATAACACAGCGGAGAAAGGAGCCATTGCAGCCTTCACGAGTCACGACGGGATTGGCACTGCAGCTTGCTAGCAAGGGGATCCGCGTCAATGCTGCGGCTCCTGGCCTCGTTTGAACCCCATTGCAACCAGCTTCCATGCCTGATGATAGCATGAAAGGCCTTGGGAGTTGGGTCGTCGCTCCCTGTGAGAAGGGCTGCACGAAATCGCGCTTTGCTATGTGTTCTTGGCCTGCAACGGGTGCTCGTCTTACTTCACTGGCAAGTTATGCACCCCAATGGCGATTGTGAATAGATATTTCACCAGTCACTACATACTACCTAACTACCCTTACCTATTTGTGTCAATTTCTTTCTTGTGGTCTCTGTTTCTAAAATTGGCATATTTCACTTCAGGTTATTGCAGTACATGGCATTACACTCATAGTTAGGAGAGTTGGGAAATAAAAGCCTTTGTAACACCAACTCTTCTCTCGATACAGAAAAAAAAAAAAAAGCTTCCCTTTGTTTTTCTCCTTTCTTATACATATATAGCAACATAATCTTTGTCTCTTCATTTTCAATTTCAGAACTGCAGATAAAGCCTGTAACATTGATCAATACTCAGAATCCAACACGGAATTATAATATACTTAAATTAAGGATTAGCCTCGGAGGCTAGTTTACAGGTAAGTTGTTCCAAAGTTCGAAACTTATCACCGGATCCTCCATAATGGGAGAGTCTTGGAGATCAGTAGAAGGATCGTATATGCTCGCTCAAGAGGCTAATCGGTTATGGCAAAAAAAAATGCAGGACGCAAAGACCAATCAAGGGAATTGGTTTTCTTCAATCTTCGAAAAGCCGTCACTTGCGTATTTGCTCTTCTCTAGCATCCACTTCTTCAGAAAGAAAGCACACGGTTGTTGAAAGACTCTTGAAAATGGCGGATTGCACTCAACTGCAACAATCAATGACCCGTCTGAAAGAAGGGAACGGGGAAACAGGTTACCAAGGAAGTGGTGAGGAAGAAAGGTCACTAGCTCCAAGTGTTCCTACACACCTGGAGATGAGAAACTTTTGAATGGCAAGGGACAGGTGTGGAAGGGCGGTGGCCACCGAGGCTGATCTCCTCCATTGCCTCGTCTTTCTGGAGAGCTCTAGCAAGAGAGTTGTCCTCCACATCTTTCCCCTTGAAGCAGAAACTTGAGCCGGTTTCCCCGGAACCAGCTGGGCTGCTGCGTTTCGAGGAGGAAAGCTCTAATCTTTCCACCATTCTTGCAACGCCTGCAATTCCGGCACTCATTTCTCGCTGGACTCCTTTGCTCAGTTCTTTAACCGAGTTGTTACGTGCAAGCAACTTTTCCTTTATACCTTGAGTGCCCTTCGTGATCGATTCCTTGTATTTGGATGAAGCAGCAACCCATTTGGATTTGATGGAGTCAGACAATGACACAATCCTCGAAGAACCTGGCTCGTCGGGGCTTTCGGATTGTGACTGTCCGAAGAGAATCCTGCATTACCATAAAGCCCGAAAAATCATAAAGAGAGCAATCATACGGCTGGCAAGAACCAATGAGTACCCTGATTCAACCAGATAGAAAATGAGGAGAGGTCGAGTCATGATCCCATACCCCGTCCTGAACAGGCCATTGGGGCGATCGTAGGAAATCGCGTCCTCGGAGTTCCTGAGGTGGGTAAGTGACGGTATGGGAGAAGTTGGTGAAGCACTTCCAGATGAGGCAGGACTCAAACTGAGGCCACCAGATGAAATTTGCTGATCATTCCTGAAATCAACCGCATGGGGTTCAAAGACGAACACCCTGGAAGTACCGAGTCGAGGTGGGGACCTATTCTCCCTCCTCTGGAACTGGCGAGCTCTGTACACAGCTGCAGCAAGATGCTGCCCTATACGCTCATCAAAGTCCGAATCATCTGAGTAGGAGTCCTGAAATGGGACAACCAGAGGATTCAAGAAGAAGGCTTTATACAAGGCAACATGCAACATGATTGAATTCATTGAATAGGTGCTTTTCAGTCACACTGTGTGCATTCGATCGATTAAATTACCTGTTCTAGATCAAAATTGTCAAAGAGATAAGGTCTGGTGGCGGATGCAGGACGAGATCGGATCGTTAACCTCGAATGCCTCTCGGCCGCAACAGCAGCTAACAACTCTTGACTACGCAAAGGCAATCAGGAAGCCATTCATCAAGCAGAATTAGCCAAATATACCTGCCGTGCCTCGATGAAAACACAAGAAATTGAACAGGTACCTGGATTGTTCTTTCAGGGAAAGGAGCTGCCAACAAATTGGGCATTCTTCGCTTCTCTGGCACCTGAGGAGAGTTGAAAAGAAACAAAACAAAACATCAATCAATCATTCTACAAGATGTATCTGGCGCAAATTCAACGCAATAGTTCAACAGCATACCAATCGAGAATGCACTGCAGATGGTACTCATGCTTGCAATTGGTCACCTGAGTCAAACAGGCAACATATCAAAAAAATGAACAAAAAAAGTAACTAATCACCAAAACTGAAACAAACCCAGTAACCGATCAGCTCCAAACAGGACAAAGGGAACATAATGATCACAACTTTACATAACTCCCAACACTTTTAGAATCACACATTATTATTGTTAAAAGAAAACCCAATCATCCGTAAACAAGAACGATCGAATAATGGAGTGAATGAGTGATGATTTTACAGTGGCGGGGTCTTGCACAGTGAAAGGCTCGAGGCAGATGCTGCAGGATTCTTCATAACTGTCGTCCATAACTTTAGAATCTGGAGAAGGCCCAGCAATTGACATGATTGGGAGGTCACAGGCAGCCATTGAAGAGGTGAGAGATGAAGGAGAGAGGAGACTGGGGGTTTTGGGAATGAGGGGGAACCCTAAAATTGGAAAAGAGAGATGGGATTGGAATGAAGGACGAAGCGCGAGATGGCTTTGCTTTGGGCTAGAGAAAGGGAAAGGGGGGAAAAGGGAAGGCGTTATATATTGAGGGAGTCAAAGAAAAACTGCAGGGAGATGACTGGTGACTGGTGTGTTTGCTTTGTCGGAATCCAAAGTGTTTTGGGTTGGTTTTCTACTTCCACTTTGGAATTTCCACCCTTTGTTTCCTTTCCCTCTTTGTTTTAATCAAATAGAAACGCTTTGAACCCTTGCTTTATCTCTTTCCTTTTGTTTTTTTCTTTGCTAATCTTCTTTTCCCCATTTGCATATTACATGTGTGCACGACTCAATTGTTCTTAATTTCTTATAATCTTGCTAGCTAAATTACACGTTTGGTCACTCGAATTATATAAATTTTTCACCTTTGCCATTCAAATTATTTTTTTGTTCATATTAACCATTAACTTTACGATTCGTTTCACTATTAATTACCCTCCGTCAGTCTCCATCAGACTCCATTAACACTATCAAATTTTTGATGACGTGGCAAACGAAAGTGCTGACTGAGCATTAACTTAATGACGTGTCAATGAAAAAAACTCCACCTCATTCTCTCCTCACAACAACCTTTCTCTTCTCCTTCCTCTTCGCACGTGCAGCAGCCAAAACAGAGATCAGCGGTGCCATCGATCTCCCTGTCCCGTCGGCGAGGTACATGTTACCCCCACCGTCGAATCAAGTTTCAGTGGCGCCACAGTCATCTTCTCCCGCAGCCGCTCGTTGCTTTTTCCTCATCCTGGTGCCGCTCGTTGCCGTAAACTCTGCCGCCTTCAGCAACCTAGTCCGACGCACCACAAACTTTCTCGTCGCAGTCGGAGCCGCCACCATCTCGCCAAGACCAGTTGATATAGCCTCCTCTCAGACCGTCGCTACAACCTCAGCCCGGAATCCAACCCATCGTCATCGTCGTTGCACGTGTCAGCATCGATCCGCCGTTTTCGTCCCTAGTTTCTTATTCCAGATCTAGGGAAATCTTCCAAAATACACCACCCCTAAAAATCAAAATTAAAACTCCTCAAACTTGGAATCAAACAAAACCCCCCCTAAAAATCGACCAAGCATTGAGAAGGAACAAAGTAATTACCGTCTTCGTTCTCTCGCCAGCGACGAGAGCAGAGCAGTGGCATATTGAGATCGAGGGTAGGAAGAGAGATCGATTTGGAGTTCTTATTTGTCTGGGTTGGTCACGTCCATCCCCAGCCAGTACACGCTAGTCTAGGAGCAGAACCCGGCGATGTCGGATTCGGAGAGAGGAGTCGGATGGTATCGAAGGCGTCGTGGATTGTCTTCTTTTCGCGGATGAGGAGAGAGTCGGGGGCGACGGAGAAATCGTGCAATGGCGGAGTGCCGCCACCAGGCAAAGGAGCTACTGGTGTCATTACGCCTAGGCGGAGGAGCAGTGGTGGAACTGGAGTTGGAAGGTATAGTTCTCCAGGACCCAACTCTTGCGTAAAGATGGGGAAGGCGAAGAATAAGTGGAGGGGAAGGGGCCACTACTACTTTGCCTATTTTTGTTTATTTGTTTTCTTTTAATTTTTTTAATTCACTTAACGGTACAGTCAGCACTTCCGTTTGCCACGTCATCAAAAATTTGACGGTGTTAACGGAGGGTGACTAACGGTGAAACGAATCGTAAAGTTAGTGGTTAATATAATAGAAAAGTAATTTGTGTGGGAAACGTGAAAAAAAATTTAATTCAAGTAACCAAACGTGTAATTTAGTCTAATCTTACCGAATATCTTTAAAGTTCGATGCTTGTCATTTTTTATAAAATTTTCTCGTATTGATGAATAACTAATTAATTCCTAAGTAACCTATTGACTATGTCACATATAAATAATTTTTTTATTGATGCTAATAATGCTAAATTGGAAAGCTCTTCTCCTCGTCTCATATTTTCTTCTTTTTATTCACCTTTTTGTTTTTCTAGCCGGGTTAAATTCAAGTGTGTAATCATCTTTGTTCGAATCAATATATATAATTGTTTTAAAAAAATGTTTGGAAAAATAACAATAAACTAAGACCTCGTTTGGAAGTTGCAATTGTTAAATAAATATATTATTTTAAATATATGTATAATATTATATATTTGTCGTCGAATTTGATATACTATAACATACTACATTTGGTATATGTAATTGTGAATGCACATCAGCTAAAAACTGATACAAAATAATTTCAACTCAACTATCTCAACAATATCAACTAAAAGCTGAGATACAAAATTTATTTTGAGTGATAGTTTTTGTCACATCACAGAAACAAATCATTTATTATGTCTACTGAAATATAACATTAATATGATGCATTCTAAACTATACATGTATATTAACCATTTCACCAAAACAATTACAAGTTTACAACAAGAGGGTACTTCCCAAAATACTTTTTATTTTATTTTACCACCAATATGGCGGTTTCAAATGTATTGGCATAAATATTGTGTTTTTGTGGCCGCCCGAATCTCAGGCGGAGCCACATTTTAGCCATTTTAGAGTCGAACTCGAGCGGATCCGCCCTAGTCTCAAGTGGGTATTTAAAAAAGCGAGGGCGCTTGAGACCAAGGCGGACGCGCCTTCCCCTTCTTTTTTTACTTTTCTCCTCAAACGATCTTATCTTCTTCTTCTTCTTCTTCAACCACACAACCACCACCGCCGCAGATCTCCTCCGCAGCGGACCCACTTGCACCCTAGCGTCGACGCCTGAAGCAGAGGCGGCTTCGCCATCGACTCAAGGAGGCACGCCTGAGACTGGGGCAGCCTCGCCTTAGTCCAAAGCAGACACGCCGGAGACAGCAAGCAGATCTGGTTTTGGGAGGGGGGAGAAGATGTCCGACGACGAGGGAATCGTCGGCGGCATAGGAAAGGGGAGAGGGCGGCGAGGTCGCTGTCATGGCGGAGGCGACCGCTACCAAGGTGAGATTTTTGTCGGCGGCGGCGAGTAATTTTTTTTTAGAATTGGGTTTTTTATGTTTTGATTATTTTTTGTTTGTTTATTTTATAGTTCCTAGTTATGGAAAATTATTCCATGAGACCACCACTTGCGACAATTGATACAGCTCCGGTGGATCCGGTACTTGTTTGGGGACATGGCTACCATCGTATTTACTCAGTTTGAGCAAAAGAGATAAGTTTTTCAATTACTTCTATAGCTAGTTAGATTAGACTATTATAGATTTTTATTAGGTGAACTAAATTGAAATTAGAATAGAATTACGCATAAAATATGTTGAAATTAGTATAAGTTTAGATTAGATAGATGTTCAGATTAGATATATTTACTAGGTGACCTGAATTTAGAAGTACGCATGACATTGAATTAATATAAGTTTTGTGCACTATAGGCTGGTGATCGACCTTACCATATTCGAGGTACGACCAATTTAGTCATGTGCCATCCACGTTATGAGACGTACCTCGTCGAGGCGAGCTTGTTTAGGGTTCTGCCATTGGCCCCTATTACTGCTGATCGGGGTTTGATTACTGCGCTCGTAGAGCGTTGGCGACTCGAGACATCGACCTTCCACATGTCGTTTGGTGAGGTGACGATCACTTTAGAGCACGTTGCGACACTAGACCGGTGATGCCGTCATAGTAGACATACCAGACAAGGACTGGTCGGAGATGTGTGTTCGACTGTTAGGACGGGCTCCTACTGATCTTTCCCGCGGTGCCATTAGGATTGCTTGGCTCAGGGATTCATTCGATCATCTGCCAGCAGATGCATCACCAGAGACTACAGAGTAGTTTGCACGAGCTTATGCTCTATCTCTGATAGGAGGGAGTATTGTTCCTCGATCGGCCTGGAGGTTCAGTTCATCTACAGTACCTACTCTGGGTGGAGGATTTTCACAAAGCTGGGAGGTTCGCCTGGGGAGCATCTGTTCTATCCTACATGTACCGTGAGATGGGTAGGTCAATGCTGCAAATGATACAGTCCTCTTCACCAGGTGGTGACCTTGGTGGATGGTCCGCCTTACTACAGCTCTGAGCATGGGAGCGATTTTCATATACAGCACCAGTACATATAGAGAAGGGGGCACAGATTACCGAGGACGCATTCCCACATGGTGTTTGATGGCTTCCGGTCCAAACCCGTCAGCATGGTAATCAGTTCTACTAGTACAAGTTGTGGTTTGATGATAGCACGACCTTCGTGGTTAGTATATAACATTTTATTTTATAGAATAGTTTTCATTGGTTTGTTTTAGAATTAGGAGTAATTATGTGACAACTTCTTGTGTGTAGTGGCATCCTTACTTTGAGAGAGCCCAGGACCTCAACGGTAGTGTGATCTAGTGTGATACGTTTTGAGCAGTAGTTCCACTTATCTACTTACTATTGCTGATGTGGCACCATCCAGATTGCGTGCTCGGACAGTTTGGCATGATGCAGAATGAGCCTCATCAGCCACATCCCGCGGCTGAGATTAGGTTTTTCCTTCGCCAGGGCCAACATGGGTCATCGCGTGGGCAGCAGTTGATACAAATAGTCAGTGAGTCGATTGACTTGTGGAACCGTCAACATGAGTTCATTGCGCGTATGAGCTACAGTGACGTCTCTTTAGGATACCACTCGGAGTATCTAGAGTGGTATCGAGATGTTACCAGACGTGCAGGCACACGGAGAGGAGGTGCAATTAACACAGCGGCTAGTGAGACTATTATGCTACTATTATGTATTATGTTATTATAGTCTATGGTTATTATTATATACTTCTATGGTTATTATGTCATAGTTGTGGACTATTTTTAATTTCATGATGGATTATGCTACTATTATGTATTATGTTATTATTGTCTAAAATGAAAATTTTAACTATAAAAACAACAAACAACAACAAGTAGTGCATTTTATAAAATTCCTAACAACAACTTAAAAGTTACAGACAACTTCATAGGAAACCATAACAACATCAAACAATAACTACTTCTGGGAAAAACAACAACTACTACATTTGATATAAGTTCCACCAAACTACATAACACGTCTATTACCACTACTTCCTCTTCTGCCACCTATCGCACGTCATTGTCTATTGTTTCCTCTTTGCTGGATCCCACTGCCATTTGTTTGGCCACCACAAGTTGATGCATTATGTCCAGATTGGTTGCAGTTGCTACACACTTGTTGTGATACACCCTCTCTTGGTTAATCCATCTCGTTGTGAATTCTTGTTGTTCGTGGCCTCCCCGACTTCCTAATCATGTTCACATTAGGATGGAGAGTAGGGCCATTATGCTTCTTCCAACCCTTGGGTTCACCAAGAGGTGTGAAACTTGTCCCATAACAATTAACAAGCCAACATTGTTTCAAGCTTGAAGACGTCATTTAAACCTATGCAGATTAGCCCCCATTCGTTTGCAAGCTGCAATGGCATGAGAGCAATGAATTTTATTTACTTGAAATTTACCACAAGTGAAAAATCTCGCCCGATTGTTGTCGTCGAAGTGCACTATGAGTGTGTTCGAACCCGTCATGTTGAAGTTGTTGGGATGAGTCTGAACTACATAGATGCCCTAACGTCGATCAACCCCATCACGGAATGTCCAACTGCCTTTTGTGGCCACGGCTTCATCAGCTCTTCGCATGGGATGGTGTACTGTGAACGACCACTTTTGATTTGTGCTTCTGTCTCCAACCTCATCTTATCCAATTTCTCCAACAGATGCCAATAAGTATGTTGCACAAGAGAAGCTATAGGAAGTGAACGAATACTTTTGAAAACACCATTGATGCTCTCTGCCATGTTGGATGTCATGATAGACCATCGACGCCCACCATTATAGTTATCATGTGCTAAGCTCAACGTTTGACTTTGGTCCACCCAGTTATCACAAGAATTTCCTATCAGCAACCATCTTCTAAAATTGCTCAACTTGACGATCGAACTTCTCCAAACGTTTTTCTTCGACTAACAAAATAAATAACCACACGAGTTAGATGAATTCATGAAAAAATTAAATGAAAATAAATAATAAATTAAAATAAATAACACAATTAAATGAAGAAGGATTACCGACTCGAAATAGTTGCTTATACATAATCCTGCTTTTAGTCTTCCTTGGCAAATTGCTTGCATAGTGTCGCATGCACCACCTCCACTCCCAACCTCTTCCGATGTCACTCATGGCTTCATAGAGTCCCGCATGTCTATCTGAGATGATGCAGACATCATTTTGATTGGTCAAACCTTGAACGTGACTTATGAACCATGGCCAACTTCCGACCATCAAATGAGCTCGCCATGAGTAGCATTCCTTTATACTTTCCAGTAAGAAATGTTCCATCAACAACCATGACTCCTGGACAATTCTTGAATCCATCTATACAGGGTCCATAAGCCCAGAATACTCACTGAAAGATCAAATGACATGGTTGCGATGAAGGAACACTTACCCAATCAATCACTGATGTTGAGATTTTTCTCTTTACCATCCGCAAGAATGTTCGCAAATAATCGTAGGATTCTTCTCAATTTCCATACAACTTCTCCAATGCTCTTTGTTTCCCATACCAAGCCTTCTTGTAAGTAACTTGCATATTAAACTTATCTTTCAACTCGGCTTGCACAGTTATAACACTCAGAATTTAGTTGGGCACGTACCAAATGTTTCACGGACTCAGATATAACGTCGACATCAAGATGACTATGATCCGTCGGTTGAGTCGTACTGCTATAAGAATGCACTAATTCAGCTTTTCTCACTATCCATTCGCTTCCAACATCTCGACATCCAAACCGCACCATCCAAGGACAGTTGTCATCATTGTGCTTCAAGCATCTGACCTTCCAGATTGAAGGTGATGACTCCGCCACGCCATACTGAAAGTTGCATTGTAGTGTGTGGTGTTTAATCGCCACCTGTGCAGCTTGTTTCGAGTGAAATAGCTGCCCCTTGTAGAATTCTCCTTCAAAACCAGAAACAATAGGCACTGGAATTACGCCATATAAATCAGTATATGATAATTCATCGTCCACTTCATTACCCTGCAAGTAAAAATATGGAGGATAATTAGCCTTCTCTCCTTCCCCATCTTCCTCCTCCTCCTCCACCTCCTCTTCTCCGTCAACATCGTCATGATCGGATGGCATGCTCCATGTCTCATCTTCTTCCTCTCCACCCCGATCCTCACTGAGCTCAACATGTATCTCAGCACCCAAACAATAAGGATTTTGTGCCATAAAATTCCAAAGCGCATTAAAGCTATCATCATCCACAATAGACATCGCATAATGAAATAAAACACCATTCTGCCATTCTGGAAGATAGTAAGTGAAACCTGTGATCACATCACTATCTTGTACTGCTTTGTCTTTACACCGTATTCTCTTAATTAGATTCTCACAAAGTTTGTGATATGTCACTCTGGATTGCACCGTCAACTGAATTTTCTACCACCAACGAAATGGACGCCCAAATTATCCTCTACTTTCTCTGATTTCCATCAAACGACTAGTTCAAATCTTCAAATCTTCTAGCAGCATTTGAAGAATATAATTAAAAAAATAAATGTGTCTCTTACCTATTGGCCATCTTTGCAGCAACCAGAGCTTTTCTTGTCCATCGATTTTTTTGTGGTGACGGTGAGCAAACTGAAGGGGAAAATCGTTGGGTTATATGGGTGTTGGAGTGGGTGGGTAAGGCAGGGAACCCCCCTCAGTCTCGGGCGCCTACGCTGGGTGAGATTTCCCACCAAAGGAAGGGCGCCTACGCCCCAATCTCGGGCGCCCACACTCGAATTGGTTCAAAAAAAATTAAATAGTGACTCCACCTGAGTGTGGGGGCTGACATACTATTTTCCTCTCTCAAAACACAATATTTGTGTCAATAGTTTTTAAGCCGTCATATTGATGATAAAATAAAATAAAAATAATATTTGTGGAATTCTCCCGCAACAAAGAGGTCGTTTGCTTGTTGGATTTGAAAAATGAGGGTTTTGGCCAATAAAAACCTTAGGGATTTATGTTGGATTTATTGGATTATAGATTTGAAGAGTCTAATGTTTGCATGATAGATTTGATGATGGATTTGTTAAATAAATAACTAACCATCAAGGATTTGCAAATCCCAAATCAATATGTGGGATTTACAAGTCCGTGGGGTCCACATATTTGGTTCCAAAATAAAGGGTCCAGATCGGGTCAGTAACTGATGGGTCAGTAACCCATCAGTAACCCCTTCTATGGTCCCCACGTGTCAGACACTTTTTTATTTAAATTAAATGTGAAAAGGGCAGTACAGTAAAATGACACTTTCTCCTATTTATTGCTGAGGCTGACTTTTGACCGGATCACATCAGCGCCTTCTCTCTCCTCGCAAAACATTTAATTTTCCTTCCCTTAATCTTTAACGGACGATTTCTCACTCGTTTTAAGTCGAAATTTAATTTTTTTTGCACAGTTAGATCAGATTAATTGTGCTCTTCAAAATGATATCCACTTTGATATTTTTTGGACATAAAAAAAATTGTCAGTTATTACCAGTCTATACCATATGGTATTGACTGGTATTGACCATACCATATGGTATGAAAAGAATTTAACACATCAATATATATTACGTTACCACCCAATACCATATGGTATAGTGTGGTAATATAAATATATATTTCGTTACCACCCAATACCATATGGTATAATATGGTAATATCAATATATATTACGTTACCACCCAATACCATATGGTATAGTGTGGTAATATCAATATATATTTCGTTACCACCCAATACCATATGGTATAATGTGGTAATATCAATATATATTTCGTTACCACCCAATACCATATGGTATAATGTGGTAATATCACACAATACCATACAATATCATATGGTATAGTGTGGTAATATCGATATATAATTCGTTACCACACAATACCATACATTACCATATGGTATAGTGTGGTAATATCAATATATAGTTCGTTACCACACAATACCATACATTATCATATGGTATAGTGTGGTAATATCAATATATATTTCGTTACCACCGAATACCATATGGTATAGAGTTATAATATCAATATATATTATCTAAAAGAAAAAAAAAACAGAAGGAAGTAGAGAAAAAAGATCGTCTTGTGTCGCCTCTCATTTCCTCTTCCGCAATCAAGAACACCAAAATGCCAAAAAAATGAGAAAGATCGAAATTGAGGCCAATGAGATGATGAAGAGAAGAAATGCAATGAAAAAGAGTGGTTCCAATTTTTATTCGTCATGAAAAAAAATAAAGAAGAAGAGAAGGGAGCAGATTTAGATCTAGAAATGAGATTGAGAGAGAAAAAGGAAGAGAGAAAGAGAGAGGATCTGGAAAAGAGATTGGGAGAGAAAAAGGAAGAGAGAAAGAGAGAGGATCTGGAAAAGAGATTGGGAGAGAAAAAGGAAGAGACAAGGAAGATAGAAAGTTGGAGAGAAGTGATTTCTCTTTCCTTCCTTAAAAGTGCAGCCATTAAATACGAAATAAAATAAAATAAAGAATTTAATATATAAACGGACAAAAATACCCTTCTTCACTCAGCATCCGGCCCAACCACACGATTGCCTACCTCTTAGATCTATGGTCCCTATTCATTACTGACATGTCAGTAACCAAGTGGTTACTGACCCTATCTGCTGCCAAAATAAAGACCAAATCCGTGGACCCCACGGATTTAGCACCCTTCAACAAACAATGGACTTATGTTAAATCCATCAAACTTGGGATTTGGGTACCAAATCCATGACCCAAATTCAACAAGCAAACGACCCCAAAGTGAACAAACCAACCCTAATCTACTCTCTTATTTATCTTATCCTCTTGTTTCAGCCGTTTCACGATTGATCGGGAAAGTTAAATAATAGTGAATCCGTTATAATTGGAGGGACCAAATCTACAAATTCAAGATAAATCAATTAAAATATAAGTAACGAATTAATAAATGGCTTTGATGTGGTGAAAAGATAGAATATTTGATTATTTGTAATCCCGTCTTGTTCGTGTCTCATTTGTCTCTGGATCATTCCGCCGTTCGTCCGACGCCAACGCTCAGCGTTAATCTAACGAATCCTCCGAACCCGAAGATCACGTCAGAAAATTTAAAAAGATTTCATTTTTCTCCCTAATTAATTAATTAATGGGTCCCACTGTTTTATCCACGTCGGCAGCTCTTCCCGCAATGCCCGGACTATTATCTACTTGCCCCGGCGAGGGAAGAGAAACGGAGATTGTCACGAATCCCCGGCTTCTCCACATTTCTAGCTCAATTGTCATTCCGAGGCAGTGCTCAGCTCCTTCCTCGGTCCAAATCGTTGGCAGGATTTCAATTCGTCGGTGGTTCAACTTCAAACCTTTACGGGCGGTTCTGCAGACTTCTCATGTTCTTCGAGAGGAAGGGGAATCACGACAAGACGACGGCGGCGGTGTTACGACTCTGCGTGAAATCTGCCGAGGGCACGTGCCGGACCACGTGCTGAGCAGGTAAAATATGCGTAAAGCTTCAATCTTTTTGTTTGGGTGGGGGGGGGGGGGGGGGGGGCGATTGCTGATGAGGGATTTTTGTGCAGGGCGGAAGGGTTTGGATACCTTGCGTTTTTCTGCCTGTTCTGCTTAGTGGGCGGGACTGTGTAATTCATGCTCAGGTTGGGCTATGTGCTTATTGAGAGAAACTGTTTTTGAGAGATTTTCTGGCATTTCTTTGATGGGGATAAACTACTGTGTTTGGGTTTTGGTGTCATAGACAGGTTCTGGGAAGACGCTGGCTTACTTGCTGCTGGTATTCTCAGTTTTGAAAGCTCGGAGATCAGCTGTGCAGGCACTGATCGTGGTGCCTACCCGGGAGCTAGGAATGCAAGTAAGAATCTTGGTGATCATTTTTAGTAAAATTTGTTGTAGTTGTTGTTGGATTGTGGAATTGGCATGGGTTATGCTGAATGAGAATACCCGATACCTTGCGTTTTTTGGTTTTGCGTATGAGTGAAGGTCACAAAAGTGGCTCGAATGTTGGCTTCAAAGGCTGTGGGTGATGAATTGGAGGAGAAATCGTCGTGCACTGTCATGGCGCTTTTAGATGGAGGGATGTTGAGAAGACATAAGAGTTGGTTAAAGGTGATGCAAATGACTCTTAATAATGTGAGTACATGGATCTGAAAATCATTTGCTGAAGGGAGTATCTGATTTTCTTTTTCCAGGCAGAACCACCTACTGTTGTGGTAGCAACAATAGAGAGTTTGTGCCAAATGCTTGATAAGCAGATATTTAAGCTTGATGCGCTGGAGGTTCTGGTTATAGATGAGGTAGGCTGTTTGTACTTTCAAATGGATCACAGAGTTGATTCCTTAGAGCTAATCTCTACATTTGTTCTTTGACCTAGGTAGATTTCTTGTTTAACTCTTCGAAGCAAGTCAGTTCCCTTAAAAAGCTTTTGACGTCCAATTCATCAAGCAATGAACGTCAAATTGTTTTTGCTAGTGCAACCATCCCGCAGCACAAACGATTTGTGTATGACTGAATACAACAGAAGTGGACCAAGGTCTGTTTTGGTCATAGTTCTATTTAAAAAGATTCTACTTGCCAAAAAAGGATCAGCTTTCCCATAGTAAGTTCACTGATGTTCTGCTACTCTGCTGCTTACTTAAAGAGAGATGTGGTCCATGTGCATGTCAATGCCATTAAGCCATTGCCATCCTGCTTGCAACACAAATTTGTGGTAAGTAGAATTCTTTTGAATGTCATCAATGGCCTTGTCTGAATGAGTGATCTTTGCGTCTTTCCTAATACTGCGTCACTTTCACAGGTATGCACTAAAAAGCAGAAACATGCAATTCTGCTTTCCTTGTTACATTCTGATGCCCCCACGTCGGCAATTGTTTTTGTTGGTGAACAGGTTTGTTTATACAGTCCATTGGTCTACTATATGCAACTATTTCTTGATAATTACTCTTAAGCATGAATTTGTTTATCTTCTTTGTTCCTCATGCAGTCTGAGAAGTCAAAAAAGGCTGGGAATGCTCCATCAACTGTTCTTCTAGTTGATTTCTTGAATACTTCTTATAGAGGTAGCTTAGATGTCCTGCTTTTGGAGGAGGACATGAATTTCAATTCTCGGGCAGCTTCACTTTCAGTAAGTATAATTTGTAGTAATCTTCATTTTGAGTGATTGGGAGTGCAACCTTAATGTAGGATTGACTCGGGTAACCATGTTTGCTAAAGAAATTCACACGATTTGCCCCTGGAATACAGGAATTGAGACAAGGGGAAGGTTATCTTCTTGTAGCAACAGATATAGCTGCAAGAGGAGTGGACCTGCCTGAAACAACTCATATCTACAACTTTGATCTACCAAGAACTGCTGTTGACTACCTTCATCGAGCTGGAAGAACAGGTAGGAAACCCTTTTCAGATAAGAAATGTAATGTTACCAACATTATTGTGCTGGAGGAGCGATTCGTTTTGCAAAGATATGAGAACGAACTGATGTTTAACTGCAAAGAAGTAATCATTTGATTCAATTGTTGGCCCTTTTATTCTGGAATCAAGTTGTTGCATACATTTTCCGTACTCTAATTCGTCTTTTTCTTGTGGAGAAAAAGATTTGATCTTCTATCGGTTTAGTAGATCAGAAAGAACTTAACATGTTGTATTACTGTTCGGAACTTGGGCCTTATCAGTATCTTCTGCTAGCTTACATTTCAAACAAAAACAAAGAATTGTAAGGGTGAAGGAATTTATTTATATTACAAGTCCATCTTCAATGACTGCGTTTTTAAAAATAACTGTAACCCCAGATCGAATGTAGAAGCCTTCAGAAGTTCTGTCAGCCTCTTGTATTCCCTGTATAAACAAAACAGAACCATATACACAGCAGAGTCAGAGCAGTCCTCAATAATACTTTTGATGTAAACGAAGTTTTGGAGCTCTCAGGTGTACCTCTGAGTTAGCAATGATAACATTCTTCCCAATTCGGGCATTTTTGTCAATAATGCATTCTCTGGACAAGGGGTAGCAAAACTTAACATGAGTCAAATGAAGAAAAAGGAGAATGCCTAACAGGCGTTGGGAAGAAAGAACAACTGCAGTGTCACTGCTTGCTAACTGTACCTGATTTTTGTGTTTTCTCCTATCCCAATAGGGACTCTTCCTTCTGCCACCAATGAAGCTACTTCATCTTCAGTTTCATAGAAGTCAGCTCCTAACATAACTGTGTCCTGCAATTACTCATTTTTTGTGATGTTTTAGTCTCAGCTCTTAAAAGGCTAAGCAAGGAGGGAATTCAGAATTTGAAAGAAACACAACCTTTAGTTGGACATTAGAGTTGATTTTAGATCGAATGCCAACAACACTGTGTTCAATGTAGCAGTCTGTCAAGAAGCTTCCGTGTGAGATGATTGAATCGACGATCTGCCGCAGAAAAAGCAATGGTAAGTAAATAACATTCGTTATCAAATGCATGTAGAAAGTTTGTTTTTACCTTGCTTTTGTGAATGTTGCTAGGTGGCAGGTTTCTCCTTGATGTGTAAATTGGCTTCGCAGCATCATAGAAACTAAACCTCGGTGGCTGCAAGAATGAGAACGTATGAGAAAATTCTCTTTTCTGGGAGATGGGAATAAACCTAAACTCAACAAAACAATAATCAACTTACATGCTCTGTAAGAGCGAGATTTGCCTCGAAGAATGACCGAACAGTTCCAATGTCTTCCCAGTAATCATTGAACAAGTAAGCCTGCAATGTTGTTTATAGAGAATAGAGCCATAGTCCAGTAAGTATCACTTCTTTCGTTACCTCATGTTTTTTTAAAAAGTGAAAGTAGTTGACAGTGGATCAAAAAGCTTGCACCTTTACATGGTACTCGCTCGCTGAAGCTGGGATTATTTCGGATCCAAAGTCATTAGCTGTTGGGAATCGCCATCTGATCCAAACATCACAGTGAACTTTCGATTAGTTTTGACTGCTAATATCCCTCCATCGATTTCCCTGGGGGGGAGGTCGGGATACTGAGTAGGAGGTACCTGAGAAGATTGAGCAGTATCTCTTTCTTGAAGAGGTAAACTCCCATGGAGGCAATGTATGGTTTCTGCACAGCTTCATCTTTGGAGAGCCCTAGCACTGTAGTATCAACTGCCTAAATATGATTGTTTTTACTTGTCAACCCTGATCAGCTTTTCTGTTTCTGCAAGTCAATGCAAGAGAGAAAAGAGAAGCTAAGGGTGAAAGACTTACCATTGCCTTGAGCTCTTTTCCTCTAGGCTTTTCACTAAAGGAGAGGACCCTTCCCTTGTTGTCTATCTTCATTAGACCAAAGTCTGATGCACGTCTATCATGAAAAAGGCACAAAGAGAAGGTCCCAGAAGTTCATTGATTAACAGATCATATAATAAGCTCTGATGACTGAAACCAGTGGCCATTGGCCAAGATTGATTCTTCACATACTTGTCATCTATCGGCAGAGAAGAAATAGTGATGTCTGCTCCACTCTGCCTATGGTTCTACAATCATGAAGATCAATCATCCATTAGATGAAAAACTGAAATTCTTTGCAGGAGGTTTTGCTTTTGAAATGCAAGTTGATAGAGGTACCTGAACAAAGTCCATGTAGTCCATACGATAGAGATGATCTCCTGACAGTATCAGCACATCCTCAATCTCCTTACTCCTTGCATCCTATTTCATCCGGAAAAAAATCTAAATTTTGAGTTTCTATTGTGCTGGAAATTGAAGTGGCAGAAGCTGGTCAGACCTCTTTGTGCCATTGCTCATTTGAACTCACCTCGAACAACCAATGGAATTGTCGAACCGCATCTGCAGTCCCTTGAAACCACTTATTTCCAGTCTCCCCTGGTGTTTGAGTTGCAGCCAGCGCCTGTCAAGATCAAAAAGTTTTTGTTCTCATGATCTCTTTAGTTTCTGCAGAAGAGGCAAATATGCATTTCTGCTATTTGTGTACCTCCACATAGCCGTCTCCAAAGTTGGTTCCACTGCCAAAGTTGTAAGCTCGAGCAAGATGCCTGTTTAGCGAAGCAGAGTTGTACTGAGTGAGAATGTAGACCTTGTTGATCCCGCTGTTGATGCAGTTGCTCATTGGCACATCGATTAGCCGATATGCACCTCCGATCGGGACCTGCCACGTTCAGTACATAAAAGAAACAATGAAGGTACCTCAAATCGAAAAGGCCATCTCATAGTTCTTGGTATACAAAGATACATTGCTAAGTGCTCCAATTTGTTACTACGAGAAGAAGATATTCGAATGGCAGTCGAAGGGAAAACAGAGGAACAATGAGCAAGCACTTACAGCTGGCTTGGCACGGCGTTTAGTGAGAGGGAAGAGGCGAGTACCAGCTCCTCCTCCTAGAATAACTGCAACAACCGTCCTTGGGTCCCTTCTCTCCATCTCAACATCCCTCAACTGTAGCAACAAAGTTCCAACATTTATCAACACCTCAAAATCAAGAAACAATCTGAAGACCAAATCCACATTCCGCCATTAATAGTGATTGAGAGAGCTAGCCTGACCGACCTTAGACCCAAATAAATCAGCCGCGACCGACATGATTGCAGGTTGCTTAGCAACTTTGTTACAGCAACTCCTTCTGTGAGAAGAAACCAGTGATGGTGTGGTTTTGAGCTTGCTTCCCATGAACTCTCCATTCCCAAACTTAACAACCCTCGACGAAGAAGAACTCCTCCTCGCCGGCATGGCCAGCCCATTGCTGCCGTGGGACGCGGTCAGGGAGAACCGGCAGTCTGCTGACACTGCCGCCATGTTGCTAGGCAGGCCGGCCAGGATGTTTGGAGATATTTACGGTATGGTGAAGTGAAGGGGAAGTTTTTCCTCTTGTGTTTTTTCGTATTGGAATGGGTATGCTAAGGAGTTTGTGTATTGATGGAGAAGGAGAGTTCGGTTTGCTGACGTGGGGTGCATGCCATTGGAGGATTGGTGCCATATCCAAACTCAATTGCATCCACCAGTTTTTTTCTTGGTTTTGTTTGTTTGTATTTTGGAGTGTAGCCAAGAGCTGAAATTTTGAAAACACACAAAGCGAGGAGAGGAGAGGAGAGGAGAGGAGAGTAAGCTAGACTGCTAGAGGGGATACGAATATGCTAGTGGCTCCTGCTCTTAAAGATCCTTTTTGGGTGTTTAGACATCTCGATTTGCAGATGGATGATAGAGAAGCTACTCATCTTGATCTCATATGATGTGTTGGTTCCAATGTCAAAACTTTTATTTAGGTTGCGTCAATATACAAAATGATTAGATGTTTGTGTGGGAGAGTGTAATGTCTTGGATCAAAGAGCACGTTTGAGTCCAAATCGACATCCTCCAATTGAGACCAACCAACTATCAAACCAACATATAAGCGACTAGGCGTGCAAGTAAGGAGGAAGTACTCGAAGCACTTCCATCTAACCGACTGCATGAAGTAACGGTGAGGAGGGTTCGGGTCGTCTTATACTCTTATAGAGGTGCTTATATGATACCTAAACTAGATAACGTAGGTAGAAGGTATTTTGTAACCGATTCAAGTACAGTTACTCTCTTGCAGTCGAAGGATCCACAAGACCACCCACGTGGTGCCCTCGCCCAACAAAAGACAATTGACAGCCTTACAAGTGTTGTAGAGAATCTGAGATAATCCTCCTAGGGCAATGTACGCAAGCCAAGATCCTCATGATCGAGCGAATGGTTACAATAAAAATTAAAAACATCCAAGGGAAACACTGAAAAATACAATTTGATGGGCTAGGGAAGAGTCCCAGGTCCACGGCCACAAACCCTCTTTTACAGGTATATCAGCAAACATTTTCTTAAAGAAAATCGTATCAGCTTTTCAATGTGACTCATACCGTCTAGCATATATAGACTCAAACGTAACCAATATCTTATTTCTTTATGTTAAACTCTATTATCTTTCCATGAATTCTGTCGATGACTTGACCTTTAGAGCACGATTTCTAAAAATCTACTCTACTCGACTTAAAGGACCGTCACCTTCAATTTCCTGATTTTGCATCACTCATCCAATCGCCATTTCCAACCGCACCCAACTCATTTTCCCTCTTCTTCCCACCATCTCAACAATCACGGAAGCTCCGGTCTAAGTGGGGAACACAAAAAGGTCAGACCTTTCTTATTAATTGTCTTGTGACTTGTGACTGGACAATGGCATCGCCACGAGACTCCATCGTTTCCACCTTTCCAGAAGAAGAGTCGTGAAGATAAATATAGGACCAGATCAAATCGAAAACGATGTCGTGTTTCCCTTTCGTCTTCGTGGCAACCAATCTGGAAGATGCTTCGGATTAAAGAAATGGAGGGCAATAGTCAGTCAGGTTAGCTGCAGAGCAACAACAAAGCCTCCGCACCTGAAAGAAGTATCAGAAAGCAACCCCTTTCCTGCCCTTAAGTTAACCCATCAACCACCGCCCATTTCCTTCTTCTTCTTCTTCTTCTTCTTCTTCTTTTACTTCTTTCTCGTTTGATTTCGGCTCATTCAGCAGCAGCCACTCGCCGCCGACAATGCCAAGGCTTCCCCTTTTCCTCCTCCTCGCATTCTTCCTTCTCTCCATTCACCCAGCTCAATGTGGTAAGCATTTTGCTTTATTATTACTTCCTTTTCTTATGCTCCTTCCCATTCTTTGAACCATGTTCTTGAGAGTTGAAGTTTCAGCTTGAAAAATACATATTTTTTGTCTGCTTTCGTTCTGCTCTTTCTTCTGTTAATGTTAGTGATGGTGGACGAGATCTAAGTTCTAATCGTGATCGATTGATTTGGGTGTCCGTTGGTTTTTGCTAATTAGAGGGTTGACGGATGATTGGCACTTGGCTTGGGTTTTGCTTACTAGATTGAAGATTGCTTCTAATGAATAACTTACCTTGATTAGGCATTTCCCACTGTTAAAGCTGAAATCCAGGTCTCTTATGGTTTGAAAGGTTTCTTATTCCAGCCTTCTTTTGTGCTCCTTCAATCACAAGTAATCTAGTTGGCCTCAGTATTTTTTGCGTTGCCTTCAGTTTGTCTGACCAATGAACTCCAGATAGCCTCAAAGTTTTGGGCATTCTGAATGGAGATGTAAGCTTGATTGACCTTGATCCATAGTTGGTCGTATCGTCGAAGTGCCGGTTTGCTTGCCCCTCGGTCACATGTTACTCTCAAATGACATTTGATCTCAAGTTGTTTGTTTGATATAATTCAGCTCCTTTAACTGACTTTAATGTCTAGTATGCAGTTTGTATGGAAGTTTCTGATACATTTGTTCGTTACATAATCCGCAGATGAGGAGGATAAGCTTCTTCAGGGCATCAATGACTACAGAAGGTCCCTGAATCTCACCACTCTAACAAAGAACGACAATGCAGATTGCCTTGCTGGGGAAATAGCCGATCAATTTGAGGGTCAACCTTGCACCAACACCTCCGGGTCCAACACTGTGCCAGGAACCGAGCCTCAGCTCCCCAATTACCCAAGGCTTCTGGACAAGTGCCATCTGAATGTTTCTAACACCAGGGATGGAGCTGTAATGCCTGCTTGTATCCCCAACTTGGACCCAACTCTCGTGCTTAGCAACTTCACCTTGAGTCAGTACTCCGATAGTCTCAACGACACCAAGTATACAGGAGTCGGCATTGGCTCTGAAGGTAACTGGATGGTTGTGGTTCTTACCACAAGCACTCCTGAGGGAAGCTTTGTCAAAGCTTCTTCTGACAATGTGTCGGCTAGTTTGGTCACTGCTGCCAGTCTGGTTTCTCCAATGCTGCTTCTGCTGTTGGCATGTTTACTTTTGCTGTAAACGAGGTTTCCTTGCTTGGATGTCCATCTACTTACTAGTTACTACCTCATCTTCTGAGGGCAAATTTCTGTTCACATATAAAGTTCAACTGAGTTACACTGTTCCCTTTTTGGGGAAATTGAGATTTTCTTTTGTAGCTTGTTTGTGTAATGGAATCATGAAGAATGACATCTTAGATTGAACATCTATACAATTTCTATCATGAAGGACCAAGATCCGTTTTAGAATCTGTATTTATTTATTTAATGTATTTGAATTAGGGGATTGGCCTATGGTCCGGTCAAATCCAGAATCAAACCCAGTAGGACTAAAACCAGATAAAAAACAAAGAAACAATTAGTTCTGGAATGAAATCAAGATTGCATTGGAGCCTATTCAATCCAATCCAGTTTAGATGTGATCTATTTTCCCTTTATTTTTAGGAACATCAATGGAATTTCAAAACCAAATCAAACTAGTTTAGCATTGTTTGACTGGATATAAATGTCAATTCAATAGGATTTGGTCTGAATCATTCCGCTTGAGAGCAAAACTTACCACTAACCAGAATAAAGAAAACTTATTTGCTACAAAATATGCATCTTTTGTATTATGGATGTGAAGAGTTCGGAACAAGATTAATGAGACATATATAGTAACTTGTCACAACTGACTAATGCCCTCAATAACAAACTGCAAGATGGCAGCCACAACAAATGCAAATTAGCCAGGTAAAACTGCAATCAAGCCTTCTTTATGCTGGTGTGTTGGATGAACAGGTACTTCCTGAGTGCCAATATAAGGATCCATGTTGTCTTTGTGATCTTCTCTTTGACCATCAGCAGCAGTGCAGAACTAAGTATTGTCTTCACATGCTGTGCTAGCAATCCTTTGAAGAAACCCGACAAACCTTCTCGTTTCCAGATGGCACTTGTGGCGCCTGAGATTGTTCTCTTGTCTTTTGGTAGAACCTCTGCAGTTCCGTTCTCATCTGATTCTGCAGCCTGAAGCATCACTTTGCACCTGCAGCAAATACTGCCAACTTAGTAATTGTCAAGTAAGAAGTCAGAGAGAAGCTTTTGAGCATTTTGCCTACCTAATTGCAGGGTAGGTGAAGGTGGTGGCAATACACTTAGCACCAGCGCCAAGTACAAAAGCAGTGAAGGCAGAAAGCGTCTCAGGAGATGCATCTGCAGCAACTGATCTCTCATTGAGCTTCTGCTTTAATAGCCTTTGCTTCAACTGATCAAATACAGTGTACTGCAGCAAAACAAACCGTTCCTTGATCATCAACCAACCCAAATAGCAAATGCAGTTGTCCCGTGGACAAAAAAACAGAGAATGAGGTCTCACCTGGATCGCAGGGTTGGAAGTGAGAAGCAATGATATCCCAAGTCCATCAAACGCTTCAGCCCAAGTCCCCTCCGAAAGGGTTTTCCAGAATCCCTTCGATTTACCAAATTCAGAGGTTTGCATCCTAGAAGCTGCTGTATCCAAAGGCTGTAACACAGTTTTCGCAGCTCATATCCCGAATTGGCTTAAAAAAGGATGGTGCAAAACAAACATATATAAGGGGGAAGGACAAATCACCATGGTCAATGCCACAGCATAAGCCCCAGCAGCAGCAGCAATCACTAAATTAGCCTTTGGCCCCATGGCTATCTTGCCAGTTTTCTCCAAGTAGAGCCTCTTGAAGAAAGTGTAGCCATAGAAATACAAAAAGGAGGAAATGAATGCCTGCCAATTCTTCGTCCCAAGCCCTTGGTACAATGAAAGAACCTTACGGGTACGCACCGCCTCCCAAAACACATCAGCAACGTTTCTGCACAAAAGTCCTAATTACGGTCCAAGGCAGCTCCACTTAAAGAGTTGAACCCCCAACACTGGCCTAAAGATGGAGCCTTTTCCCATAAATGAGATATGGGCAACCTTGAATTCGTCGGAAAAAGAGGGGAAAGGGTTCGGAGTAAGGGAAGGATTACCTGTACTTGCGCTGGTGGCGAGCTCGGAGCTCGGCTTGGAATTTGGTCTTGCAGGTGTCGAGAGGGTACAACACTGTCGTGCTGACGAGAGCAGCTATGGCTCCTGAAGTGGCGTCCGACAACGACTCCAGATCAACCCCCATTCTTGCTTCTACTACCTGCTGTAGCTGCCTCCTTTCCCACAAGAATTCAGCGCCAACTCATGAACCGCCCAACCAAATATTTTTCCAAGAAGGTAATTTTGTGTTTGTGGTTCTTTTTTCAGGTCATGGGTTGGTTGGTTGGTTCGTCTTACTACCTAGTTACTGGGCAGCCATGGCAGCGAGTAGAGCCTCCTGTACTGGTTCATGTATGGATGATCTTTTGGGGAATCGGAAAGGACCCAGTCAACGTCATAGCTGCTGTCTGTTGACGGCGTCAACTACCCAGGTTAACGGCGTCTGTAGGAAACTAGAGATTCCTGTGTTTGGGGAGGATTACTCGCCTAATCGGGAATCTTCCCAATTCCAATCCCTATCTTTTCAATTTTCATTGGTTTTTTTCTTGATAGCTTTCCCTTTCCGTTTTGGCTTAGGACTGCCACTCTTGTAGCCAAATACACTTGTATAGCCAAAACTTTGATGGTTTGGCCAAATATAGCCACTTTTGAGGAAATACCAAAAATAGCCACTTCCATCCAATTGTTTGACGGTGTTAGTTAACGTGCTGACTGGATTAACGGAAAAGCTGACTTGTCAACTTTTTGGTCAATACCAATATGACCTGGAATTAATACAAAAAATAAAAATAAATTATTAAACATTTTTTTTCTATCAGCCCTCTATGTCTTTCTTTCCCCTTCCGATCCCCCAAACCCAGCCGCCGCTCATCTCGCTCTCCCTCTCTCCGTCGAAAACCTTCTATCTCTTCGCTTCCCAATTCCCATTAAATGGCGACTGATATCCCACCGTCATCGTTTCGCCCAAACTTCCTCCCTTCCCGGCCAGTCTTTCCAGGCGTCGCACTAGCGATTGTAGAGACGCAGAGGTGGCCTGGCGGCGTAGCCATGTGAATCGACAACAGAGCAAGGTCAGCGGGTCTTGCAAAATCCCCATCACTTCAGATTGCTCAGACGCAGCCGCCGACCATAAAAAAGGAACAAGAAAGCCAGCATCCCGATCCACAAAGGCGACCGCACAAACGACGTCGTCATCATATTTCACCGATTAGGAAGCGAAGGAGGCGGCGGATCCATGGGAGAGGGACGTGTTAAGCGCCGACGACTCGTCTTCATCTCCATCTCTCTTCGTCTCCGATAGCTGAGCTTCAACAGAGGCGATTTCAATTAAAAGCCCCAAATCGGATGAAAGACCCCTCTATTTGCTCTCTCTCTCTTCCCTAGTGCAGATCTCCGATTTTTCCCCAAACACAGCGAACCCCCAACCCCAAAACATGAATCTCTCCCTCCAGAACCGCCAATTCTAGGTTTTGGTCTCGGTCAAGATGACGCCGGCGGTGAAGAGAAACGATTCCCGAATCAGAAGTTTTCGGTTGCTAAACCCACTGGTCAATGATTCTCGAGAGTCGAGACAGAGGTCTATTGATTTGGGGACAGCTCCCTTGCGTTTCAACCGTGAGGAAGAACAGAGCAAATCTACTGATTTGAGAGCCTGGGTAGCAGATCGAGAATGCTATGGTTAGGGGAAATCTCTACTTTTGGATATTGAGTGTTGGATGCTTGCTTTTCTTTTCGCTGGTTGTTGCAGGGAGATGACGGTGGGAGGAGATGTAGAAGACGCAGGCGATGGTGTGAGAGGAGAGAGGATGAGATAATAATTTGTGATTTTTTATATATTTTTAAAATTAAAATATGACATGGCATCTATGTGGCAGGTGTTGGTGAGTCGTCAATGATGTGTCCGGTGAGTTGGCAGCCAGGTAAGCGTTCCGTTAATTTGATTAACGGTGTCATTGACGCCGTCAAACTATTTAACGGAAATGGCTATATTTGTCATCGAACTTTCAAAATCCTGGCTATTTCTGGTATTTCTCCAAAAATGGCTATATTTGTCACAACCGTCAAAGTTTTGGCTATGCAAGTGAATTTGGCCTTATTTATAAATAAACCTTCATCAGCCCTTAAACGAGGAAGTCGGTATCCTCTGAATTAGTGTAGCGATCTATTTTACTCTGTCCTCTACTGCAGTGAATTTGTTTGGGTTTTTGAGGAACTACCGAACTAGGGTTTCAGTTTTGCGATCCCAATTAAAAAAAAAAAAAATTGGGTGAGCTTGCCGATAGAAACCAATTTTACGGCCGAGTTTTGCCGGAGATTCAGTCGATTATAAACCTCGATCAAGAGAAAAGGAAGATGTGGAAGCAAGAGCTCGACGATGAGCTGGAGAATTTCAGAAGCAATCTTGGAATTGTGCCTAAGAAAATCAAAGATGATGTCGTAGGTGGGCCGAAAACGGTCCCGGCGCCTACCGACGATCAGCGTAGGAGATGGAAGGAGGAGCTTGACGAAGAGCTCGGAATGCTACGACTAAATCCGCGTAGCGGGAACACCAGAAAATACTCCACCGGCTCGCCGCCGCCAACCGTTGAAAGAAGGTTATCCGAACAACAGAGAAGGTGGAAACAGGAGCTTGAGGTAGAGATGAGAAGACAACGGAAAGATTATTAGAAGAAATTCTATAATCAGTCTCATTGTATTTTCCCTTCATAACTCAATCGAAAATTTAGAAGTATTTATTTTTAAAAGATGGTTAAAAGTTCAAATATATAAAGATCACAAATGCATTGTATTTATGGAATTTTCGCACATAAGATGAGTGGGCAAGGCCGAGAAGAGTGCTCCGTGATAAGTAGGAAGATGTCTTGGTAGTTTTACCTCGAATATGACTCTTGTACGATTGAAGAGTTGCTTGCTGTCAATGACGTCATCTCATTAGTTGTTTCAAGGAGTCCACTAGTGTCATTATTGAAGAAAATTCTGAAGTGGTCATCTATCAACTGTACAGTAGTTGTGTTGAAGATTCGGTGGACAGTTGTATTTAGTTGTTGATTTTGTGTTTTCTTTGTATAGTTTGTAGGAGGAACTCGATTGCGTATAGAGTGACAAAGAAAGCTCTCTTGTTGTAGGGTGACTTTAGTAAGTGTTGCCTTGGGAGGGTTTTGGTAGAGATTTCTAACTATTTTCTCCTTTAGGATGGAAAGAGACTCAATATTTTGATATTGTCCAAAACCAACTTATTATGAGTCAAATCAAATTTGAGAAATTTTACTTTAGGCGTAAATTCATATCCAATTGTTTAGTTTGGGTCAAAATTGCACTTATATTATTGGGTGCCTGAAAGAAAATGGATATCCAATTCTAATATAGTTTTTATCTTATTATTTTGTTATGCAACAAATAGAAAGGTGAAAATAGCAACATTAAAAGTGTAATTTGATTGAAGACGGTTAATGAGAAAGTCAATATTTTCCTTTGTCATGAATGTTTCTGTTTGTGCCTAGTAGGTACTAGGCGATTTTGTGGAGCTGGGGCGAGGCCCCTGTTCTTGGATGATGGAGCGGCTTCAGATATCCTGCAAAACAAGGGTCCGGGGTGGTTGCCCGGGATACCCTCCGATGCTCAAGTTAGAGAGAGAAGTAGAGGAGAGATGTATTTATGATTGAGAGATAGATAGTAGTTGGGTTTACCATTAATGCACTCACTCTGTATTTATACCTGGTTCGAAGGTGGTTGAGGCATTAAATGCTTGCTCAGGCGTCCTAGACCATGTCAGGCGTCCTGAGCAGGCTTTCTGCCTTTCTGCAGGCCGCCTGTGACTGGCAATTAATGCCTAGTCTTGTCTGACACCAGATGCGTATCTCAACGGCTCTTTACTTTTCTGCCACTGTCAGTTGCTTTATGTCGGGCGTCTCTCAGCTACTTCTCGGGCCTCGGGCTGGTCAAGAACCGCCCGTGGACTCGGCCCTTCTGACTAGGCTGAGCCCTCTTATTGGGCCTGTTTGCCAACGAGACTCTATCGGGCCCAAAGCCCAAGTACGCTCAACTACGCGGCCCAACAATTGCCCCTTAGGCGGTAAAACCCTAGGGTTTTGGCGACTATTACTAATGCGTTCCGGCTAGTTGAGCGGTTCGCGCCCCTTTCCTCCTTACTCTGCCCCTAGGCGCCGGAGGCCTAGGGTTGTATCGCCTAAGCTAGAGACGACCGTTCAGTAAGTCTTCCAATTGAGGACGCGCTGCACACGTGGCACGTACCGATTTCCGTGCTCTGACAGCGGGCAGGGCGAATGTCCTTTCACCTGCCCGTCTTTTTGAATTTGTGAGACAGAGCTCTGCCTCAGGCACTTAACCGTCACATCGCTTCCCTCACCTGTCATATATATACCTCCAACCAACTCTTTCCGAGTCACTTTCATCATTTGCTTACTTCCTTCATTTTTCAAAATTGCTCGGTGCTCTCGATTCTCCCTTTCTCGTTACTTGGAGAATCACCCTTCTCTCTCGGCGGAGCGACGTCAATTTCTTACTTCACTTAGGCGGAAGCAGAAACAATCTAAGAAGAAGAAGTTTCTGATGGCGAAAGGTTCGCAATCCACTACCCCCTCCGACAGCCAGAACCGCGATCTTTCCGGCGATGTGGTTCCGCCATCCGCTTCCGACCAGGCCACAGCCACTCCCTCCGGCACGGCGGCTACTACCGCTTCAGGTGACGTTTTGGCTCCAAAAAGCAACGCGGGCGTCGCGCGTCCGGACTCTAAAACCGTTAGCGCAGGCGGTCCTGCTACTGGAGCAGGTATGCCTGACTTTTCTCACCCTTTTAGCTTATCTGACATAGAATGAGACTCGGAGGGTATTGAACTGTTGTGCGGGTTTGATGATGCGCTTGGTGCGGGAGAGCGTTTAGATAGGCCTGATGATTGTATTTTAGGGCTAGGAGCGGGTGTCCTAATCGATACGGCCACGTCGGGGGCTGGGCGTGGGGCGACCTCCTGAGTTGGCTACAACCTCGTGGAGCTGTCGTCGGAAAGCGCACCGAAGGATGCATCCCCTGAGTCAGCTGGGGAGGATTCCGTGGCGGACTCGCTCTCTTTGGCGCTGTCAGAGACGCCAATAGTCCACCCCTTCCAGGCGGTTGCTGACCGCGTATACCGTGTGCGCCTGCACTCGGACATGTGGGAGGGGGGAGAAATCCCTAGCGCTGTTTATGACTATGGGCCGCGCTACAAGCCCGCATATTCGCCTGCGCAGGTGCTTCGCCAGCTTCACAGACACCGGCTGCCGACAAATTGAGAGTACGCGGCCCCCTCTCCCGAAGGGCGATGCGGTTCGTGCCCGGTGGGCTGGATTACAATCTTTACAGAACATGTGCGCCTGGGTTTGGAGTTCCCGCTAGATCCACTTCTTACCGAGATCCTTCTGCATCTCCACTGCTCCTTGAGCCGCCTCTCGCCATCCGTCATCTTTCATTCTATCTGTTATCGTGCGGCCTGTGACCGCTTAAAGGAGGAACCGTTGATTGACGCTTTCCGGCTGCTGTATGCGATGACCGGGTCGAAAAACTGTTGGTCTCCTTGAAGGCGGTCGAAAAACGTGGGGTTCGTGTATGGATCCCCTAAGCTGGATTCCCCTTGGTACAACGAATACTTCTTCGCTCGCCCCTCCGGTAAATGGTACTCGGGGGACGCAGAGCCGCTGACCGCCTTCTCGTTCGGGCGCACGGACGATTGGGACGAGGGCGTCAAAGAACTACACCACCTTAAGCCGCATGTGAACCACGTCACATCAACCGTCCAATTTCAGTTGCCTCCACACGGGCATGACAATGCTCTTGACATTGTGCAGCGCTTCCACGGTTAGTTAGTTTCTACTTGCTTTGTGGGATGTTGTTTTCTCATGTCTTTACTTATGTATCTAGGTTCCAGGAATTCGGAGGTACGCCTCGTCTGCCAGACCGCCCAAGACCACCGCTAGCGGCTCTCAGTCGGCGGTTCCTTCGGCTCCCAGCGTCTCGGAAGGGCCGAGAGCTGCAGGCGGCTCCACTCAATCGCATCTGGCGATGGGGCGGTCCGGAGTTCTCAAGCTGACCATCCCCACCAATCCGGGCGTAGCGAAGAGTGGGAGCAAGCGTCCCTTGGATGTCGTGGTTGTGCCAAACAAGGAGGTCGCGAGGGACCAGCAGAAACTGAAAGGCATCCAGGTTGACCCGCCCGTCAGCCAGAAGAAGCAGAAGACAACGGAGTTGTCTTCCAGTGCTCGGTATTCCCTGCATGCAACTTCGTCCACCGAGCCGGCGCGCCATGCGCTTCATGCCATCGCAGAGGGTTTTGCGGTGCCGAGCGAATATGTGCGAGTCAAGGGCGCCATAGCCACAACCTCTGACACTCGCCATCTCGCGGGGACGACCGCGCGGTGCTTCTCCGCGATGCATGCATTTTTACTTCGTTTTAGTTTCTGCTTGTTATTGACTTAGTGTTGACACGAGCTTGTGAATCCAGGCTCAATTTGGTATCAGCCAGCTCATATTGACGAACGAACGCCTCTTAGATGACCTGGGTGACCGCGAGACTCGCATCTTGTCGCTCGAAGAACAGTTGAAAGAGGGACGCAAGGGCTTCGGTCGAGAGCTGCGGGATGAGATCTTGAAGGAGCAGGAGGCGGTTTCACAGGCGAAGGATGTCGAGCTGCGAACCGCGCAGGAGGAGCTGGCCAAGGCAGCGTCGGAGTTGGAGCAGGCGAAGAAAGAGGCACAGGAGGCTGCCGCGCGGGAGAAGCAGCTGCAAGATAGGGTGAAGGAGCTGGAGTCCAACATGACTCAACTGGAGGTGCAGCGAGAGGTGGACCTCGCCGAGGCCAGAGAGAGTGCAGTGACCAACTTCTATGAGTCTGATGAATTCAAGGCGGCCGATGAGGTTAAGTACCAAAAGCTGCTGCGGGATATTGTAGCCTCCATCCGGCACCTGTTCCGCCGAGAGCATCCCTACGTGGTCTGGGATCGGAACGCGGTTTGGGACACAGTGGAGTTTTGGAGGGATAGCGATGTGAACTCCGAAGAAGTGCCTCAATCCCAGGCCGCGGCGGCCATTGGCGGAGAAGAAGTGAACCAGCCCGCCTCTCTCGATGATGACGCCACTAAGTCTCCAACTTAATTTCGTGAACATTGCTTTTCTTTTCCTTTCCCTTCGGGGGCACTTGATACATTCCGCCTGCGGGCGAGGTTTATGTAATATTTTTCCTTCGGTATTTCGTTTTGTTTCCTCCTTAGGGATTTCAACGAAGGTTTTTGCTAGTGTAGTTTCGCGGTTTTTGCCATGTGACTCGACTCTACTGTCACTCCAGGATTTGGCCAAGTGAAACCACTTCCTAAAGCGTAGTATAGCGGGTTTGGGTTTAATTATCAACCCGGGTCCTAGATTTGATGACTACTCAGTGAATTCTTGTTATCTAGCAATGAAACTTTAATGCAAGTCTAAACTAACAAACTAACAAAGCAAGTAAACGGTTGTATTCAGGTTAAGAGAGGTCACCCGGATATGGTTCCCCCTAGACTGCAGTTAAGCCAGATTGTAATTACCAAGTTCAGTTTCTATGATAGTTATACTGCGGAAGGTTCTTAAACAGCCTGAATTCTCGACTAAAGGTCTTCAGACCCTCTCAATCTGAGTCTCTAGCGGGCGACTAACCTCCACCG